TTTTCATACATGTATGGAAATAAAAATCATACGTTACATACATAAGGGTTCATACATTACATGTTTTCGTAACACCGACTGATAAGGGTCTAACAGTGACTTTGGTTAGTGCCACGCTGGATCACCAACAACGCGTTACCAACACTTGTGGTAATAATATCACGTGATCACACCAGTTAGCTCTATAGTTCTATGATGATATTACTGATATTACATAATTTAAAGATATTCAATCAGAAGATTAGTCGATTGAGAATTTGTTATATGACAACAAACAGGTCTCCAAGACCGTTTAATTCTATCTTTAATTAAATTATGATTAGAATACAATTTAATTAGTGGACGCATCCACTTGCAATTTATATGAGAATACTATTTTCCCTGCCAACTCATAAGATTTATTTACTTACCAATTTATCTATGCTTTAGATCGTATTTGGTTTTTTAATTTTCTAAAGCTGAAAAATAATTGCATGCGAATATACAAATATGTTTCTAATTGATCACTCTAGTTGATGTATACTGTACATACGTATTTTATTTATATTATAAAGTACTTTAAACAATTGATTGCTGCGTCCGACTTATCGAGTTTAGATATGTATGTGAAATTCACATGTGTGAAATTCAAATTAGCCAATCAGAATTTCACCCATTCCATAATATTTCAATTTCACATACAACAGAATGTTTCAAAGTCCGATTCCAATGAAAATCCCCTGACTTTGAATGGCTTTCCAGTGGCGCATAATAGTTTATAATAAAGACCAAAAAAGGCAATGACTTCTTAATATTAAAGCTGTAATGAAATAACAAATAAATAAAAAAAATTGTAAATGATCGAGCCTTTTAACCAATTGACTGACCATTTGGGCAAAAAATCAAAAAGAATTGTAGATAATCATTTGATGAAACAATGGATCAAAAAACAAACCTTTGACCATTCGGATATTTAATAGAATAAAGTAACGAAAAAATAAAGATTGACCATTTTGGACATAAAAGAATTCATTTAATGAAATAAAGGATCAAAAAAATAAAGCCTTTTAACAATTGACCATTTAGACATAAAAGAATTGTAAATTATTTATGACCATAACGGACCAAATTGTAAATAATCGTTTATCACTATATTTTATTTGTCATGTGTGCACAGTTCGAACGGTCCATCCTTTTGGTTTATTTTTCTATATTTATATATTTATCATATGTATTATTATATCTGTCAATTCTTTATTATTTCTTTATAAATTAAAAATCAAGAGATCGTCTGTTAAGTTATCATAAAACAATAAACATATCTTCTAATCAATATATCGTTGATAAAAGGATCACTCTTAAGTAAATAAATAAATTGACATTAAATATCAAGTTATTATCTTAACAGTTTATTTTATTATTTTATTCGTATTTTCTATTTTGGAGATAAGAGATTATTTACAAAAAAATAATTTAAAATTAACATTAAATAATCTTCAATATTTATGTACATGTACAAGAATTTTTATAGAAATATCTTGATAACTACATTATAAAAAATTTTTTATATCTAAATTTAAAAAGAAAATTTTAAAATATTCATTAAAACTTCATTTGACAAAGTTATAATTTTTCTTTCTGTGTCTAAACTAAGTTCATGTTCATCTTTATATACACTTAATAGTCCACCCCAATATAAATTTCTTAATACTTTGACCTTTGCTTTTATAAAAGCCATCTTCTCACCTTTGAGAATAGCTTTTGCTTTTATAAAAGCCATCTCCTCACCTTCGAGGATAGCTTTCAAACAATCATTCTCTAATGAATACTTGCATGTGTCTTTGTTTGTTGACACTCTTTTTTCTTGATTGTTTATATTTGTGATTGCAGATATACTAAAATTAAAAAAAGTTAAGTTAGCTAGCTATTGATAGAAATTAGGTTACAGTGTAGGTCATAATATTTAATACATCATAATGAGACAACTTACTGCTTGTTTAGAATATTATATATTCTCGCAAGCTCTACAAGGTCCATTTCTTTTTGTCCTCACAAATTTTTTCGTTATTTGAACACAATTTTTTTTTTTAGAAAAAAAAAATAAAAAGTTGGGACAAAGTAAAGAATTATACTTAGGAATAAAAGTTATATATTTAGAAGCAATAATAATTACTATATATATAATTAATAATTACTATATAATTAAATAATAATTAATTAAACTAATTAAACAAAAGAATGATATTTTTTTTAATTAATAAATATTAGTGATTTTGTTAAATTAATTTAATGTTAATGACAACGATATTAATATGTAAATTGATATGTAGTTTACGTCATCTAAAGACATCAAATGCTGTTCCGAGTCAAATTTTCAAATTAATAGTAAAGTAGTATTAGGGTATTATTTGTATTATTATAAATTTGAATATTCGAATTACATTGAAAGTTTATTTGAATAAACAAACAAAACGAATAAACAAATAATTCGAATCGGATAAACGAATAAAACGAATAATTCGAATTTGAATAAAAATCAGAGCCGGAAATAGTAGCAGTCACAGGACATGTCACGCAGATAAAATTTTACAATCAAATGATCATTTAATACCCAAATTTGAGATATAACTTCTTTATCATATGTATCTGCTTTAAGAAAATTTTTAAAGCAGGTTGTTGATAAAACCAAAAATAATCTGACCTTCAAAGTCAAATTTTGCCTTTATGTTCATATACATACATAAAATTTTGTTTGACGCGTCCAATTACAAGTATAAGGAAATAAATGTCCAAATATTACATTATTATGAATATTTACAGATTCTTGATCGCTTAGGTATGTTTTTTTATAGTAAAATCGTTTATTTTAAAAGCAAATATAATAAATAAATAGATACTAAAAATTTCCTTTACCTACACTACCTGGACAAAAGTATTTGATCACGTGTTTGCACTAATTAGTAAAAACCTAGATTTTGATAATTATATATTCGAAATTTCATGTTACTATACATTGAGATATAATAATGTAAAGATATTCAATAATTTAATATTGTTACTAAAAAATTTTTAAAGGCATCAAAATACTTATATGGCGTTTTCATTTTTACATAGCCTAGAGTTCAAATAAGCGTTAACCCAAGTTATTTCATCCCAATTGGTTGGATACAAAGAAACATTAGATTGATTATCCATGTCAAAGGATCAAAAAGATTAAAATTATTCTTCCATTAATGATTGAATTACTTATATAAAGAGATGTCTTTAATGATTCTGTTGTAAATCTGATTGTGGAAATTGTATCTAGCAACCATTAAACTTTCATTTTGAAAAAAAAAATTAAATTTTTATATTTGCGATGTAAAATTGTGTTTCGGAAATTGTTTTGGCACTTATTTGGTTACTGGAATATCTGTCATCAAAGCTTGATACAGATATTGTTGAGACATAATATTTTCATTTATTTCTAGTGGTTAAAGTCGAAAACCTGATAAATTCCAGGATGGGTCCTATAAACCCTACCCCTTCTAAGTCCCAGGATGTGCAAAGTAATGATAACTCAGTTTCGCAAGTGGATTTTAAAAAACTTTATGATATAGTGGTGGGTTTGAAGGAAACAATGGCTGGATCAAAGCAGACTCTGTCAAAAAAGCCAGGTCCTGGGAAACAAAAAGTGGATGAAATTGCCATGAATAAATTTTAGATAGTGTGGCGGATAATACAGGTCAACCTGAGGATGGTTATGATTATGATCCAATAGAAGATTTGAGATTACAATTTGAGCAGTTGGGTGTCAACCAGGCAATGGCTCGAGTAATACATGCCGTTTTTAAGAAATCGTCCAAACATAGGTGTTCTCTTTGTAATAAAAGTGGATATAATTCCTGCAATTGCCCTAAATATAAAAAGAGAAACCATAGGAGAGAATCCAAAAAGAAAGACAGGATTAATATAGCTAATATATATTCGAGTTCCAATTCTGGCGCTAGCTCCTCTGACAATGATTCTAATACTGGTGTTTCTTCTGATTCCGATGGACCTGAATCTGAATCTGAGAATATTACTGAAATCGTTCAGAATATAATCAACACTGCTAAAGCAAAAAAAAGTGAAGCAAAAGAGTGGTGAGTCAAAGACTCGGGGTTCTACCCCCTCAAATAAATCTTCCTCTGGGAGAAAGTCCAAAACTCGTAAAACAAAACAGGGTGAAAAAATAACTTCCTCTGATAAAGGACGAAATAGTGGAGCTAGTATGGCTAAACCAAATCTTATTGATAAATCCCTTCAAAAATTATACCAAATATGTTTGATGGTATCCTACCTGTAGATTTGATGGAGAACCTTAAAGCAAACATCAAAAATTCATCTAATATAGTTGCGCCTATTCAGAAACAAAGCTTCAAGTCTCCAAATCAACCAGATTTCAGAAATTACTGAGTACCAGTTCCAGAAATACTAGATGAAGATGAGGAGGAATCATTGGAAGACCATATGGAAATAGACTTCGTTCAGAAAAAAGAAACCACTACAAGTATCGCAACTATAAAATGTAAAATCAAGTGCTTAAAAATTCCTGCAATGGAATTGGATTCCACAGCCGAACTTGCAATTACATCAGAAGACTTTGTTAAGCGCATAGGTGAAAAAATTGATAAATCGGAAAAGTATGATCTCAGTGGCATTGCTACCATTCCAACTGAATCTATTGGTGTGGTTCGTAATTTACCAATAACATTCCTCCCAGGTTTCACCATACATGAAGATTTTGTGGTTGTAAAACATCATAAGCCAACATTAATATTTTCGAACCCTCTACTAAATGTGCTATAGATTGGGCCAAAGATGAATTGAAGATTCCCTTTAATGGAGAAGATTTTATTATTCCAGTCACTATGCATAAGGTCAAGAATAAGCTCGAAGTAAATTGTGTAGCAGTGGTAGAAAATACTGATACCGCTATCCCAGATCAAATCTCACAGGAAATGGGTGAACCATTAAAAAAACACATGAATTGTGAGGAACTCGAAAAATCGTTATACAAGGTTCTTGATTTTAACACCAAATTAATTGATGCTAATAAAATTTTACGAATGCGAATGATGCATAGTGTCGCCCCTTTGGGCCTGTAGAGCCCCAATTAGTAAGAAGTCAGTAACCGTTCCGCCTCATTTAACGTCTTTTTTGTTTCCATACGATTGTCCTTAAGTATGTTATACAGTTTATTTTTTTCTTCTGCTTTTTTTGCAGGAGCAGGAGTATCATGAATCATTAGATTCGTCCCCTCAGACTCGCTTCAGAAGCGAGACGAACCATTATCAGTTGTGCCAGTTTCAATCATGTTGATTCCGCCATCAATAATGGGTAAATCGGAAATTTTCACAGATTTAGATTTTGACTTATTTTTCTTTATCTGCTTCTCGTAATGAAGCTCTATATCTCTCATAACTGTTGAATTGTAATCCACATCTTGTTGGAGACGCTCGCATTTTTTCCATATATCAAGAACGCGCTCTTCACGAATATGGTAATTAATGTTGGTTTCCAAAACTAAAGAGTTCCGCAACTATGCGAAAGTCAAAAGGTTTCGCATAAGTCGAAACTAGTTTTGACATTTGACCTTTGACTTTTGATTTAGTTTTGACATATAAATTTTAATTTTAGTTTTGACTTTCGCTTCTTCAAAATAGTTTCGGCAACCAACACTATTGTATTATGAAGCATTAAGGATGTTTCCTATTTCCCTTTTATTTATTTCAAAAGTCGCCCATTTCAAAGAAAAATGGCTCGGTTACTAACATCATCAAAGTCACGAAAATCAGCTATTGAAAATTTTTTTACTATTATGAAACCAGAGCAAAAGAAAAACTTGTTCGGTGTCTAAATGTTCTTTAAGATTTCAGTGAAACATTCTTAGCACAAAGGAGAAGGAAATCGCGTATGAATTTTCAGATGTTCCAAGCTATGCAGAGGCAAAACTTACTCAAGGTTATGTAACTTGGAAATACTCTATGAACGTTATCTCATATAAAAGCTGGATGTTTTGGATTTGTATGAAATTGAAATATGCAGATACTCACCTGGAACAATATATCGCCTTCTATTTACAAGATTGAACCTTCATAGATACCATTGTTGTTTCTATTTTAGAGATCAAGCTGGTGAAAAAGAGAAAGAATGGGCGCAAACTAATCCCTTACACAGTTATAACAATTTCTAAAAACAATTTTACGATCCAACTCAGGAATTGTCATCCATCCAATTCATTAAAGCTGTATTAATTGAAAACGATATCAGGGATAATATATTTGCAAACAATTACTATTAACTTTAGAGTATATGCAAGGTCTAATATATCTTTGTTTAAAAGTGCAGCAAAAGAGCCTTTTCACATATATAACACATCAATTAATTGAAGTTTCAGATGAGATACAATTAAAAAAACTTCATCCGATAATATGTAATGAAATAAACAAAATTTAGTATCTTGTTCAGGACTATATAAGCCAACACCAAAAAATGGATGTGTTCTATAAAGGAAAATTATGTTTTACAATCTAATGAATGGATTAGCATTAATGAATAAAAAAAAGTCTTCTGACATGTTAGTCATTTTCTTTTCACGCGTGTAAAAATCTCGAAAACCTCTCTAGAAACCGTAACACATATTAATATAGGAAAAATGCAACGCAAATACGGGTATTGCTGATCCAAATAAATGGTTGGCGCGGTCTGAAGACCTCGTATTGGTACGCCACATGAACAATAGCAATTTTAAATCTGTTCAAAAGTTTTTACTAATTCATGAAGGAATTCCAGCACCAAACACATAAGCGAATTTGTTATTTTGGCAGACAAAATTGGAGTCATGAATTTAAAGTTTGATGTTGTATTATATATGTTAAATCGCAAAACGTCATCCTTATATTGTTTAATCCTATAATTTGGAAGTTATATGACTAGTTAATAAAGCTCTTGCCATTTTTTTTTTCTTTGAAGATAGTTTTTATTTTAATATAAACACTGCCAAAATAAAATTTTTATAATGACAATCATATACATTTGACAATATCAAATTAATAAAAAAATAAAATAAAATTTCTTTCATAATTAAAAATCTTTAAAATTAAAGTCATAATTAAAAGTTATTATTTTTTGAGTTGGATATTTAATTAAGTCCAAGTTTGTCCGCCAAAATAATAAATTCGTTCGTGTATTTAATGCCAGCATTCCTCCAAGAATCAGTAAAAACTTTTGCCGATTCCGCATTATCAATATTAAAATTAGGAATTTGTTGTGCGATCTCATTTGACAAAGCAAGATAGAAAAGCAGCTGAGGACCTGGTAAATCCGAACCTGAACTTGGATTATTATTGTTGTTGTTGTTATTATTTTTTTTAAGAAGTATTTGTGCCTTTTCAAGATCAGGTACGTGAACAGTAATGATTCTGCCATTAGATAAATTTGCAATAGTGGAAGGTGATTGATTATTACTCATTTTTATTTATTATTAAAAAAACTTTGTCAAAGGTTTCGCTAATGCAAAGGAATGTAGCAATAATAATTTTTTTGTTTATATGTGAACAAAGAATTAAAGATTTATTTTAAAGGTAGGGAGTGTTAATAATTTCTTTTTTTTACTTCATTAATAAATTATAATTATTATAATTGTATTATAATTATTATAATTGTGTTATAATTATAATAATTAATTGTTTGTTTGTATGTCGTCTTTTTTTGGTATGGTGTGTACATATTTGTTTGTATGTCTTTCGGTATTGGTATGTGACATTTTCTTCATTAAACTTCTTTGGTATTGGTACGTGACCTTTTTCTTCATTAAATATTAACAATACAACTCGGAAATTTATTGGCTCTTTTTTTATGATGCACGTAGAATGTCGTTTTCTAAATAGGATTTGTATTTCTTCTTACCTGCTTTTTTTGGATCATAATTAATAAAAGAACAAACAATATAATAGCTAAGAAAATTTTCATACGAGAATATAAATAATGCAAGCGTTATTCATACAAATTAGATTTGCATCTTTTCGTTTCCACGTATCATACATTGAGATTTATTAGATTGTAATTGTTAAAAAAAATCTTTTGTAATAATTTTAATGAATTAATTAGGAAAGTGCTCTTTGAATTTGGAATTAGCAAAATGGTTGACCATTGTTAAAATTTTAACATTTATTCGATACTCCCGTTTTTGGAATTATTATTATCATTTTTTTTTTTAAAAAAGAAAACAAATTCTTGCTTTGATTCAATTATTGATGAAATTAAATTTGCCACTACGCGCAACAATGTTTTGAAAAATCAAAAAAATCAAAACGAAAATCAAATAAAATGTTTGAATGTTTGGAAATTTGAAAAAAAAAAGTGTTTTGATATTTTTAATATTTTTAAAAAATTATTCACGCTAAAAATATTTAAAATGTGTCGCGGTAAAGAAAAAACATCATCAGAATCATCATCACATTTATCGGAAACAAATTGTGCCAAGTTCCAATTTCCAATTTCTCAACACGAAACTCACGAATTACATATCCCAATTCCAACCGTTAAAGAAACACTTGACTTACTAGGCAACGAATATCCATTGGAAAAAGAGTTGAAGCCGTTTTTTTTGTTTTGTTCAATGATTGAAAAATCGATTAAAGAAGATAAGGAAATCACTGATAAAAAATGGGCTTTGAATAATGTTTATAAGGTTGGCAAAGAAATTTGGGATGGATTGGATAGAGAATACACGGATGAATATGAAAGATTATTGTCGAATGATGAAGTAATAAACAAACATGACAAACTTAAACCAATCGACAAATCAGAATAAAAAGACCACGTCTATGTCAGTTGATTGAATTCGATTTTATGAATTATTACCAAAATAAGAAAATACACAAATTATGCAGTCATTAAATATTAAATATTTATTATTATATGTCTTTGTAATAGTATGTTTCATTTTGATTTTTGATTTTTGATTTTTGATTTTTATTACATGTAAAAAACCCTCCTTAATCATAATATGCGTAAAAGTAATATTAATTATGAATTATAAGATTTTTTTCAAAAAATGGTTTTTAAATTTTCTCAATAAAAAAAAGCAAACTTCCTCATTAACATCTAATTAGCAAAAAATCAAAATATTCGATGTCTAAATAATCAAATTTATGAACGTAAAGGAAATAACAAAGTGGTTGCCAAATTTGGATTTTAAATTGAGGTGGACTGGTTACATTGCATCGGGTAATTTTCATCCGTGTACACCTTCTAAAATTCCGTCGAATTTCCATATTTGTTACTGCAACTTGTCGATGATTAGTTAGGCATCAAAAATTTTGAAAACGGTAGTAATAGTTCGTCTCAATACACTTTGATTAGGTTGAATGGAAATTAAAAAAACAATAGAAAAAATGAACTATAAAAACATGAGGGTCGCTAGTGGTAGAAATACTCTGGAAATACTGATTTTAAAAAAAAAAGTCATTAATAAATCTTTTAATTCCTCGCTCACATATAAACAAAAAAATTATTATTGCTTTTTTCAATAATAAATAAAAATGAGTAATAATCAATCACCTTCCATTATTGCAAATTTATCTAATGGCAAAAACATTACTGTTCACGTACCTGATCTTGAAAAGGCACAAATACTTCTTAAAAATAATAATAACAACAACAACAATAATAATCCAAGTTCAGGTTCAGATTTACCAGGTCCTCAGCTGCTTTTCTACCTTGCTTTGTTAAATGAAATCGCACAACAAATTCCTATTTTTAATATTGATAATGCGGAATTGACAAAAGTTTTTGCTAATTCTTGGAGGAATTCCGGCACTGAATACACGGACGAATTTATTATTTTGGCAGACAAACTCGGACTCAATTAAATACCCAACTCGAAAGTTGGAAAATCGGTTAAAGTGATTAATTTTTTGGCAAACTATATTTAGAATTTTTTTTTTTTTTTTTTTTTTTTGGCATCGCCGTTTAAATTGATAACCTCGCATCAAACATTTTTCGACAATTCGTTTAAAATCTTCCATACGATACATTCACAACGAATCGTAAAAACATAAAATTCGCAACAAACAGACAAACAAAAATAACTAATTTTTTAATCGTTGAATTTATTTCGAAACCATATCAAAAATAAATTTATTATTTTAATTATGACTTTAACTTTAAGATTTTAATTATGAACAATTCTATTGTATTTTTATTTTTTTTATTAAAACTATTATCCTTAAATAAAATAATATAGTAACATGGAAATATAACGATAATATTTAGAATAAACTTTTGTTGATTTCATATCAATCGTTACAATAATATAAATTGCAAGGAAATGATGTAATGGCACCTTTTTTTTCCCAAATATGTATGCTGTATTTCAACTATTTTTCTTCAATTTACTGTCATTATTGATCATAT